TAATGGCTCATGATTTAATCCAAACCATGCGCAAGTGGAAAATAGAGATTTGTAAAGTGAAATGGATTAAGTACAAAGAAGTTGGTGAAGAAGCTGAGTATGAAGAAAGTGTAGTTTAAAGCACACCGTATAACAGTTTAGGTTAAGATAATGCTGAAAAGAGATTAGTTTAGTTTAGTTTAGCCTCCTGACTACCAGGAAAAAATAGTTTGTGAATTTAGTATTTTGTCATGTCATAACATTGTTTAGAGCACAAGAAACATTTTCAAAAATAACATTTTTGAAAAATTATATTTTATTCATATGTTATGCCATGTCCTCTGTAGAGGACATCGGGACTTTCAAAAGTCCTGTTTTTAAAAAAATAAAAAGACATGAATAGACATGAAAAGGCAAAAAGAGTGGGATTTTTGTTTTAACCAGAAATCAATTTAATTTTTTTATACCAAACTTTATATAAAGATGATTCTCAACTATGTTATGAGAGATATTTTTAAAAACATCATTTGGTATCTCTGGAAAGCCATGAATGTGCTCTGTACAGGACATCCAGACTGTACATCCAGAAACTGTGACATGTAACGTCTCAGAGAAATCGCTAAAACATAATGTCCTCTACAGAGGACAAAACTCCATAGCCGGTAGTCAGGAGGTTAGAGCTTTATTAATCCCCTTGGGGCAGACTGTCGTGGCGCTTCACATATACAATCAACAATTAAACACACATACATTAAACATACTTACATAATTGACAAACCACATGCAAAAGGCTGGAGCGATCCACTCCCGCGCATGAATACCACAGTCAATCCACATGCCCTGTTCACCTCATCCCTCCTGCCTGACAGCTGCAGCATGAAGACATTAACTATGAATGTGTCTGTAATGTGTTCTGAAAAATACATTCAAGCAATGCTCAGATCTCTAGTATATAAATCAACCTTAATACAACGAGTGTACCTTCAGAACATAGAGTGGCCATTTTTCAGTGGATGAGCCCATAAGAATTACTTTCACCATGCCTGAATGTTCTTGGTTGGTCCTGTTTAACCAGTAATAGATCTGAGACAAAGGTTTGGTCAAATTGGGTATGATTTTAAAAAGAAATCCAAAAGTTGAGGTGAATTTTCTCATTTTTGTCAGCTTACATCTTCTAAAGAATGATATATCTCATAGAACACGCCTCCGGGGATCCGACGTATCATTTCTGGTCTGCATCTCAATTAGTGCTAGTGTGTTTTCCAAAAGCACTCTTCAAAAATATCAAAAGCACGATTTGAGTCTTATGAATCAAGGAGTTGCTTTTCAACGTATACAGACACCTTTTAGATAGTGAAATTAGTAAATATAAATGTAAATACAGGGTCCCACTTTATATTAAGTGGCCCTAATACCTGTGTACTTACATAGTAACTAGATGTGTATGTAGTATGTAACCACAGTGTAAGTACACATTGGTACATAGTATCTACAGCTGTAAGGTCCACACACTTGGCCCAAGGAAGGTATCCAGTGAATGGATGAAGGTTACTTGCGTGTTCGGTCTTTTCAGCGCGCAGAGTTATTCAATTTAGGTTTAACTCAAATCTGACTCCATTTTATTATCACCTCGAATTTAGGTTGAAAGGCAAATTGGT